TTGTGTGCAAAAATTATTTAATATATATAATTATGCATATATGTATATATGTCGATACATATGCATATAAATTCTTATTATACACATTATGTACCCAAATATGAATGGATGTGTGTATATATGGGGACAATTGTACCAGATATTAAATATGAAGATTTGTGTACTCCACATAACCTACAATATACATATTTATCGTTGTTACCTGCATTACGTGTACCATATAATATGTTGTCGAATTATTTGTAGTCCGTGAATTGTTTGTGACTTCTTAAGCTATATATCTTCTGAATCTATCAAAAAATTCGTCTTTTCAAATACATATAGAAAGTTTAATTTCGTCTGCCATAAAAAATTAGATCTTATATGACGATTTATTCTGATGACCATTTAATTCCATTGATGATTGTGTGCTGTCGCACTTACATTTTAGTGCTGTCAATGAAATTTGCACAATTACGGTAACGGTGACTATGTGTAAATCAAAATATATTGCAATTATACTATGTTTTTCGGTTCGGTCATTGAAATGGGAACTCTAATATTCGTTATGTGAATTATTAGATTCAAGTACTGCTATCGACCACTGCACTTTTTATTCACTTATGAACATATAGATTATTTTAATTTGCAAATTGTACAAATTTAATATACATCGCTACACAGATATAGTAAAAACAAAATTTATTAAATTATTATAAAAATAAACACAAATCTTATTTTCTTCCGACTTTAGAAATAATAAAAATGGTGCATTTATAATACCATTTTTATACTTAAAATTTGTAAACACACACGCTAAAGATTCAATTTTTTTTTATTTTTCTTTCTTTTGCATTCCCTTTGTTTTTTTGTTTCGATTCAATTTATAAAAATAAGAAAACAAAATCAACTGTTCAAGAGATTTAAAATGCAATTTTGGTGAATGCACCATTTTTTTTTCTTTATTTAATTATGAATTTTGAAATTTATGTTTACAAACTTTTGTATTTTAAAAAGGAAAATAAGAATGAAGAACAATTAATTTGGACGTGCCATAAACAAAACTACTTTTGAATTGTATAATCTAGTTAAAATGAATAATTAAATTATAATTTTTTTTTATTAATACAAAAGTATTATATTTTTTTTTTTATTCCCACTTTTTCTGATATTTTTGTTAAATGCAAATAGATACCTGTGCAGTTTGTTCTTTATATTAAATTTCACTTGTTATTCTATGTCTATGATTGCGTTTTCTTTGTATATTATGAGAGCATTCATGAAGTCATACTCATATATGTAGGTGTTTACACACGAATTTGTTAAATAAATGAATATTTGTTGTATATAATCTATATATTTCAAAAAATTTAAATCGAAATCATGTTTTTAATTAATTAATACAAATGATAACAGTATGTAGCTGACCATTTTCAAAAATTTTAAAATATGTCATTTTAATTTGCCATTAATGCAGTTTTTTATTTAAAATATTCGGTCTTTTTGAATTCCCGGATTCATATCGATTTATATTATGTAGTGTGTAAAAAAAAGATGATGACTGGTAATAATCCGTTTATTAAAAAGAATTTTTGAAAATTAAAAAGTCACTTTACTTGACAAATGGTGCGGGTGTCATGAAAATTATGAAATTAACACACACTTGGCCAAAATTATTTATGACCAAATTGTAGAGAATGAGTCGCAAATCAATTAAAAGCCTTGTTTTGACATTATTAACGTTTTATAAAAGAAATTTAGTTTTTTAACCAAAATTTTGTGTTAAGCTGCTGTTACTCGAAAACGGTAAGTCTTACATAAGCCAGTTGTATACCGTTGCATAGATCTATTAATTGCAAAAAAATGTTGTGAACAATACAACGTTTTACATATTTGGAAAACGGGATTTTTCAGTCTGATTGATCCTTCCCTCCACAAAGCTACCCTCAGACGACGATTTACTCCACCCCATACGATTTTTCCCTACAAAAACTCAAAGGAATTACATGCCGAGAGCTTTAACACCAGAAGCGGACTGCAATGTATACCTAATTACCATGTTGAGTGAGAATAAAAGCCTGCGTATGCAAAATTTTTGGTTTATCAAAACATTTTTTTATACATTTTAGGTCCATCAAGATGCAATTCATTTAACTTTTATGTCAAAACCAGAATATTTATTGAGTGTGTACTTATAAATTGTTCATATATGTACTTTTGTTAAGAAACTAAAAATCAAATCACCATTGAACAAACTAAAAAATCCAAAAAAAAAAAAACGAAAATGAAAATGCTATAATGACGAGCCTACAAAACTTTATTTTACACGCGCGCTTACATATTAATTTTATTTTTAGTGCCTGTGTATATACAAACTTACATACTTTAACTTATGAGTCTTTATACATGCAGTTAAGAAGAGTGCAATCTTATCTGATTAGCAAAGATCTGGTCCGGGGGAATTGAAGAAATTATAAAAAACATAAAGGTAAAAATGAGAAGAAAATGCAAAAAAGCGTTTTTTTTTTTATCGCAGGTAATTATACTTTTGCAGTTAATCCACCCACGCTAATTAATTTGTTTATAATTCGATAATATTGCAACAAGCAGAAAATTATTCAAAAAGAAATAAGAAAAAACTTCCAATACAACGATGAAGAAGATGAAGATGACGACGATGACGGCAAGGATGGTAGATTATGGCAATGGCAGGCTGGCAGGCAAATAAAAGCGTAAAATAAAAAAATAGCGAACGGATATACATATGTATATACACATGAATGTACACATGGTTCACGTTCATATACACCGCTTTATTTATATTAGCAATTATTATCGAATTGAGGATCAAATCTAACCTTTATGATGTACGCCTCTAGAGAAAATTATATTTTTTTTTTTTGTTATTTATTATTGTAAGAACTAAAATGTTGAATCCGCTAATCTTGGAATGGAATCAAAGAAAATTTTAACTTGCTTAAAAAAATTTTATTTTGGATTTAAAGTGGTTTGTATCATATTAAAGGATTTTTGCTAAGTAAAGGATTTATTTAATATAAATTTTCTTTTCATAAATAATATAGAAATTTACTCTGAACAATTATAATACAAACATAATTTTAGCTATAATTTTGATTCAAAGAAGAAGACGTGTTCGTATCGATAATATGGAATTCATCTTCTCATTTCATCCCAATAGTTCAAAGTCATCTGTAAAGTAAGCCAACTAATCAATCTTCCCATAGTTTTTTTTTCGAAAATTGTAAGCAAATTAGATTTAAAGTAAATTTTTTACAATTCCTTTACATTTTTTAAAATTAGGCTAAGTTGAAATTTTTAATGTTGTTGTATTTTATTTGTGCGTTACGCTTATTTTGCAATTGGAATACAAAATTGCATAATTTTCCCAAAATAAATTACATATGCATAAAAATTATTATTTCTTAATTCACGCATAATAAAATTTTATATTAATAATGGGTATTCCTATAAATTATTTAAAGGATTGTTAAACAAAGACCTTCACTATTGTTACCAACTCAAATTGAATATATTAGAAATAAGTACTTACATTTTGCAATTAAAGTTTCTAAAACGTTTCTTAAATGTTTTGTCTTTGAAAATGAAATAAGCATTAAATGTTTAATTTTCTATAATTTGCTTTAAATATCTTATAAATTTGTTTCATTTATAAAAACAAAAGCCTATTGTAATAAACTGAAAAAAAAAAGGTTCAATTTATGAAACTTTTAAAAATATTTGAAAACTTAAAGGTCTTTTGTCATTTTTACAACAAAAATTACCAAATTTTTTTTTACCAATTTTCACCTTTACGGCTTTACCTCTATAATCAGTTCAATATTTTTGTTTTATGTACATAATGTAAGTGTGCCAAATTACACAAAATCAAATAAGCGAAAATCAAAATTAAAATCCTTTTAAATTTTAACAAGTTACATGTGTAAAATTGTGAAACTATGACACCGAAACATGAATCTTTTCAACTATATAGTTGATGTGTGATCGAATCTCTATACAAAAAAAAAAGAACCAAAAAACAAAATAAAGTACCACCCATATTTACACATTGTCTTATTATTTCATTTCTTTATACATATATACTTATTTATAATTTTCATGCATCCAATTGAATGCGTTTCATGTTAACATTAACAATACAGCGTGTTGAATACAAAGATTTCATTGATGAATAACAAGATATTTATATTTTGAAAGACACAGATTTTTTGAGATATTTAAAACTTCTTTATCTTAAGCAGTATTTGCAAACACAGCCAGTACGTTAAGCACTTCCGAATCATATTGAGAGTTTCCATTAAACATCTACCATGTGTACATTAATAAGTTTATACAATCATAAACTTAAGACGTAAAAAAATGATTAACAATAAACATTATAAACCAACTATTTGAAATTCCCCAACAATTCTTTAAAAATTATTAAGCTTTCTAAATTAAATTAAAATTGTAGTTTCAATTTTAATCGTTTCTCTAATTTTAAATTTTTTCAAACTGATGAGAAGCTAAAGCTACTTATAATCAAACCAGAAGCCTAATCATCTTGTCGGAATCAATGTACATTAAATATCTCTATATTTTCCTGACATACCCCGTATCACTTTATTAAATTTAATAAGATGAACGTTTTTTTTTCGTGTCAATATTCGCGAATTGAATCATGAATTCTTTAACTACATACATGATATTGTTGCTATTTCAATTGTATCATTGATAATTTTATACTTTCTTGATTTTAAAAGTAAAAATACAAAACAATTGATATTTTAAAAAATGAAAAAATAAAATCGAAAATATTTTTGGAATTTTTAATTTTTATTATAACTATAATTTATAATTTTAAATTGTTTAATCGGTTAATGGCATGTTAATCAAAATAAATGCTTACAAAATGTTAAAATAGATAAAGTAAAAAAGTGTTGAAATTGGAAATTAAGAAAACTTTTTGTATTTTTTAAATTATTAATAGTGGTAAATAAAAATTAAAGGTTCGAAATGCGTGTTCATAATGCGTTAAATTGAGTAAAGTTTTTTTTTCAATTACAACAGAGGTTCCTAAATCAGTAAATAAATAATATTAAATAAAATTTATTAACATTCTTAGAAACGAAAATGCGTTCTGTCTACATATAGGTGTTTAAACCTAATTTCAATTACATGATTTAAAAATTCCGAAATTTTATAAAAATAACTAAGTTTTTTTTCCAAATATTTTAATTACAAAATTAATTAAAAAATTAATTAAAGGCACTCCTATCTTGTCTACCTATTTTTAATATACATATGTACATAAGTATGTATAGTTTAAATAACATAGATTAAATTAAATCGGATCCGGTAAAGTTCCATCACGAGTTCTAATCCAGAACTCTTGTAATCTTTTTAACCATAATTGCCAATATTTTTGCATATCAATCTCATTAAATTGAAACAAATTTCCAGGTTTTCCATTTGTATAAGCAACAACTACATAACCTGTTCCAATTGATAATTTATATTTTGGATCTGAATTAAGAGCACCTAGATAAGCTGCTAATTGTATTGGAGCATCATAAGTTTTTTCTGGAGTTGGTTTCAGTTTATCTGATTTCTTCCATTCTATAACACTTAAGTTAGTTCTATAAATAAATGTGGTAAACAAAATTATTTTTATCAATAATTTTCAATTTAATTTTATTTATTCAAAAATAGTAGGTGAGTACCTAACTACTAACCCTATATGTAAAACACAATCAACTACACCTTTGTATTTTAAAAATGGATGCTCAACACGCGCTTCAATCAAATGCGCTTTTGGATTCAACTCTTTTAATATTGGTGAAATACTTTTCCATGTAGTAAATACTTCTGTTTCTGATGAAGGTTCAATATTAGATTTTAGATATGTTTCGAGTGATTGATGAAGCTCTTTTCCTTTTCGGAAATGTTCTAAGGTAAAGTAAAAAATATCTGTTTTATCTTACTAATTATTCTAAAAGTATCAGAATTTAATTTTGGAATTTTCTTGCAAATTTAAATAACTAGGAAAACCTTGCGTAGTAAATATACAAACCTTGTTGTAACTTAAAAAATCCTTCTTCTCCGAGCTCTTTAATTTTGGAAAGTTTCCTGTAATTATATTTAAATATCTGAATTAGTTTTTTTTAATTTAGGAAGGTAGGTAAGTATACATGACTGATATTACCATTCTATTAAAGCGTTACGAGCATTTTCTGACATTGTTAAACTTAATATTTTGGTAACTGATGGGAAATCAGTTTCATATTTTTCCTCAAATTCTATTAAATTCTTTTTGTCGTCCCTAAGTATTAATGGAAAATTAAACATTTGTTTAATTGCTTTTGAAGAAAATGGTATTTCTTGAGTTTCATTTGTTTTATTTAAATTATTGTTTAATTCAATATTAACTGGATTAGTTTCTAATTTTTCTAAATTCTTGTCAGTCTTTTCTTCTGTTACAGATTGATGTTTAATTAACCAGTAAAATTCAGAAGAATTATCTTGTGACACCTCCTCTGTTGCTTTCTTCAATACTATCTTTTCTTTTCCTTTTATTTTCTTCTTAATTACCGGGCCAAATAATAATTTATTTTCCTTGTTCAATTGCTTAATAGCATCAGCCTTTCTTAATTTTTCTGTATCATAAACTTTATTTGATTTTGCAATTTTAGGAACTGTTTTTATTTTAGAAGCATAATTGAGAATTGTTAATAATTTCATGTTTTTTTTGTAAAAAAAAATTGTAAAGCTACAAAATATGAAATACGTTTCGCAAAATAAATAAATATAAAGGCCGCAAAAAAATAACACAAAAATTGTAAACAAAACTACATTATCCTAGGTCATGTGTTTTTTTCCTTAACGACAAGACAATTCACAATAGTGTTGATTGGAAGAAAATTTCACATCCATTAAATTTTTGACAAGTAAATTCTGTCAAAAATTTAATGGATGTAATTATACATAAAATTCAATAAATTTATATGTAATTACTTAGCTCATCCTAATTTGCAAAATAGGTAATTTATATACAAAATATGTTAAAAATGTACCAGTGCAAATTTTTATTTGGAAAAAATTATTGCGTATAGTATTGTAAAGAACTATATAGAATTTAAAAAACTATACCATCACAAAAAAAATGTTATGTTATTCTGACTAGCTATAAAAGTTAAAACATTTTTAGCCTTTGTAGCCTGTTTTGTTAGTTACATTGATTTATACTTTTCATTAGTTACATTGATTTCTAAGAGAATTTCAGAAAGTGATTAAGTTCATGTTGGTAGATCTTAAAACTTAATTCTACATTTTGTCAGTGCTATTCTAAAGCACAAAATTGAAAATCATTGATTACATTGACTTTCAATTGAATTTTTAGGTTTTGTCAGTTTCTGATTATTAGCAGCATAAATTTTTATGCTGATCTTTTAAGGTTCTTTACACAAAAACGATGTACTTTTTGCAGTGCTGTCACAAAACGGCATTACATTTTCAAATCTAAGTAAGATTTTCAATATTAACTCCATTAGTTTTGATTTAAACTTTTAGTTCTTTTATTTACAATTGCACGTCAAACAATTTTTTTTCATATGACATTCACAGCTCATATTTACACTACAGCAGTATAACTTCAATCAAATTTAAATTGATAAAAAAAAACACTGGTTATAGCTGTAGCTAATTTAACTTTCTTGTCGTTTACATCACAGCTATTTAAAGAATTGCTTACTTGTTTTTTTTTCTTGCATATCATGTGTGGGTTTATTGTTAGGCAAGATTTACACATCATGAAATGCTTGATGATTTTTCGAATCAAACGAAATTGGACAACAAAAATAGAGTTTTGTGTATTTCAGTTGTCTGGACAGGAATGAAGAATAAAGTAGAAGGTTTGAAAGTTTCTCGCTATATGCATTGTGATCATTTACTTTTTCTGATCAGCAAAGTTTAGTACTTTTTGTAAAATTCACATTTTACAGTTGAAATTTTTTAAAAATATATATGCATATATAAAAAATATGTGTTTATTTTTTAGAATAAATATCTGCAATCATTAATAAAAAGCTAGAATTCAGCCAATGTTCGATGTGATAGCAAATTATGACAGATATAATTGTCGAATTATGCTCAATGTGTAAATTGTACCTTAAAAAGTAATTCACAATATTCTACCCCACGATTGTCAAAAATGTCATTTAAATTTTTGAAATATTTGCAATTTGGTTTATAGGGTACGCTTTGACGTAAAAACCGTTTGAAATTTTGAGTAGCGTCATTTATTTTTTTTTGTTTCCTCTAAACACAAAACAAAAACTATTATTTTTAATTTTTTGCATTTTTAATTAAAATCTATCAAAATTACTGTGGAAAATATAATGACTCCAACTCATACAGATACTCCTTTAAGGAGATCTAATATGAGTGTATTTAAAACGCCTGCCCAAACTCCAATCGTAAGTATCGAAGTTTATAATTTTCAAACAATCGAACGTAAATGTACATTTGATTGACTCGCGTATGATATAATTTGATAATGCAATTTAATTTGGAGATAATTTATTGTAATATTAAAAATGAAGTGTTAATATATTAATTTGTGTGCACAGAATGATGACGAAGAGGAGAGAAGGCAGGCTAGGAGACGAACTATTCTGGACGATTCTGCTAGTACAGCGAGTTCCACTATAGAAAATAATCAGACTCTGAAAGATTGTTTAAAAATATTTACTGACAATGTAAGCAAATTTAAAATTGATTTAATTATTATATTTAAAACTATTAAAACCTTGTTTTAGAAATTAAGCAAAGAGAATGCTTGGTCGGTTTCTCTTATCGATACACTGTCCAATTTACTGGATAAACATCACAAATCATTAAATAATTTTAAAGTAGCCGGTTCATCACTGGAGGCTTCAAGTAAAGTTTATGGTCTTCGTGTTGATTCTGTTCATACGGATGTTGTTCGTATGTCTGCTGGTCTTTATAAAGATAAACAAAAAGGTAAACATTTTGTCAATTTTTGTTTTGATAACAAGATGAAAAGGTTTCTATTGAAATAACTTACTTAATATTTGATTTTAGAATCTGCAAATGAAGCTGTTGATGATGAAAATAATGATAAAGGAGATCAAAATGGTCCAATCCCAGAAAACGGAGAAAATGCTCCAGGTGAAGGAGAAGAGATTTCACAACCAAAACGCAAAAAACGAAAACGCAAACAAGTATCGACAGTTACCAGAAATGAAGATACAATAAATGGACATTTAGATACACATCCTTGCACAGATCCAATTTTTGCGAAATTGAATTCAATTATAGGCAGTATAAACAGTTCCAATAGATTGTTGCAAAATATTTTGCCTACTGTAAATTCCGAATTAAAGTTAAAGTAAGAAAATTGTAAATTGCAATTAAAAAAATTTGACTCATTATCTTAAATTCCAGGATGTCTTATTTATTTTGGGATCCAAGTGAAAGTAAAAACTTAAAGTACGAAGAAAATTTTAATTATGAAGAAGAAAAAATGGCTGAATTCAAACCACTAGAGGATATTAAATTAGCAAATTGCTTTTTAAGGCCGGACCAAAGTGGTTACGTAATAACCGACACCCCCGCAGATCCAGATGACGAGTAAGTTAACCTTAATTTAATTGAATTGAATTAAAAATTAAAAAATGTCACATATTTTAGTGATCCACCATTACGATATGATTCAAGTGATTCTGAAAAAGAAATGAACTCCAATTCAATGGCTTTAGCTTTTGATATTAATGCTGACGTAGAACCCGAACCTTTAGATACACATACTTTTGTAGATATTGATATTGGTAATAGATTTTTTGTTAATTTTTTAATTATATAAAATTAAACGTACATTTTTTTTTTAATATTAGACCAATTTAATGAATTGACACAAGAAGAACAAATCGCTATAAATAAATGTAAAGGATTACGTCGAGTTCCTGTTGTTATAGAAGATATGCGTCCAGTTGATTCAACCTCTAATCTAGAATACTCGTATCGACCATTAGATAAAATCAGTCAGTTTTGGGCCGGACCCTCACATTGGAAATTTAAAAAATCAAGAAAAACAAGTTTTAGTATGGTTCAACGATTAACACAATCTACCGAAGTTGGTTCAAAACAAAAACAAAGACCACGTAGAGTAAATAGATTACAACCTAAACAAGTACAATTTGGTGAAACACATGATGATCTATTTCAAAAATTAGATTCGAAAAAATCAAAATTAAAAAAGGCTAATGTACAAAAAAAATGGGATGCAAAAAAATTAAAATTACCAACAGATTTGCAAATCGATGAAGAATGCTTTGATGTTTATGAATATGGGCCAGCAATTCAAGTTTCAGAAATTGATAATGCAATATCACCTGATTTACCATTAGAATCATATGATTATAATAATGCAACAGATCAACAATATTGCAGTAATATACAGAATGTGAGTTATTGGAAAACACTTATAATATTAAAACAAAAAATTAAAATTAAAATATTAACAATTTAAAATTTTTAGGATGATGATTTTGTAGATGATCGAAACGATGATAATTTACATAATAATTCAAATCATGATTTACCTGAACAAGCAAATGCTTCAAATACAACAGTAATGGAAATTTCAACTGATTATGAGGGAGCACCTGATAAAGTAATTTCCCTTTTTTTTTTTTTAAATTTCAAATTCATACTAAATTTATATTTACAAATTGAATTGAAATTTTCAAATAATTTTCCTTTATAATTTATTTTATAATTTTTTTTTTAGGTAATAAGAGTTGTTGTGCCTTTTGCCAAACGTGCTAAAGTTATTGATATGAAACAATTAAAATATTGTTGTATGAGTTTAATAAAGAAAGATTTCGGTGATACGGAAAAAGAAAATCTTCCAAATCCACCAAGCTATCCAAATGAAAAATATAATCCAGGTGTATCGACATTCAAAAATTTATATACAAAGTTACCTAAAATTTTAACACCAAATATGGCTGACGCATTATCAACAACAGTAGCATTTTATTCAATTTTACATTTAGCAAACGATAATAATTTAAGATTAGTTCAACAAAATGATTTAAATGATTTTCAGATACGTCAATTAAATGTTTAACTTTAATATTAATATTTAAAGAGAAAGAAAAAAAAAAAAGAAAATTTTATAGAAAATAACAAAAATTAAATATTTTTTTTTTTAACATTAAAGACTTTAATTTCCAAAAGGCAAGAATCGAAAGAAATCAAGCGAAATATAATTCAGAACAAATAATAAGTTTTTGAATTGCATTTAACTTGAAATATTGCACCAATTTGGAACTTAAGGTATTATAATTTTATTTTGAAATATTATATCTTAATATAGGGGATTTTTTTTTTTTGTAGAAAAATAATTACATATTCATTTAATTTTCATTTACATTTAATTACGATAACATTTTGTTTTTTAAGTCTTTCAAAAGAAAAAAACGACGTTTTTAAATTAGTATGATTATTTCTGTATTTTTTATATGTTATATGTATAACATTTTTTTTTTTTTTAAAATAATAATAACATCGCAACTTTTTGTGTTTAAAAAATAATATGGATTTTAATAAAAAATAATCCTAAATTTTAAGCTTTATTTCTGTATATATACATACATTCGTTCTAGATACATATCTATGCTTGTAATTTATATACATTGCGTATATTTAAGGGATATATGTTTATATGTATATATAATAATATATAGAATTTCTTATATCATTTATAAAATACAGTGATTTTAAAAAAAAGAAATTGTCTATTGTTTGGTATTTGTACAACCCAAATTTTTCGTATTTTTTTTTTTTTTTGTACTAATTACAAAAATAGATAAAGTAAATTCATTACACAATCTATATAAATAATCTGTTTGATTCATCACACTTCAGATGATGTGATATCATTTAAAAATGTAGAATTTCAAATATCAAAATAGATTTTATTCTCAAAATGATAAAATTTTCAATAATATCCTATTATCGCCAGTGACACGTCAAAGAGAATATATTTTACTGGTGAATTATGTAGAAATATACATGTATAAACCAAAAAAGCAATATTTTCATATTTTAATTTAATTAAATATTTAAATTCATTTATTTCAAAATTCGCATTTATCCCAGTTTTAATGAAAGTATTAAGTAATAAAACAGCAATGAATTAAAAATTATTTTGAAAATTAAGAATTTTTTTTTTATCCTAAATTGAAAAATAAAATTTCTTAATTACTTTAATTTTTTCAAAGCATTTATAAGTAGATAAATTAATAAATTACAATCATATCATGGGAATATTTGAATTTGTATTTAACATTATAAACACATAATAATTATTATAAAAAAATTCTAAATAAAAAAATAATAGTTAAAATTAACATATAAGTTAACAACAATTATTTAAGTATTTAAAATTAAATTTAATTAATTTTTTTTTTAAGAAAGATTGTAACCATTATTTACATTCTTATACATACATATACATAGTTTAAATTATAAATGTTTGTAGCAGAATATCTAATGATGTCTCAATGGTAAAAAATTGGTTTATAAGAAAAGAATCAAATTAAAATAATGTAATCATTTTATTTTGTATACTAACAGGAAAAATTAAAAAATGTGGTTTTTTTATAAAATGAAATACGTTTCATAATTAAAAGCAAAAATATACATGTATTTATTTTTTATTTTTTTTCTGATCATTGACTAGATTTGTGGGGTGGGCATAGTTGAAAGGGAACACTCAAAAATATTTGAAATTTTTTTTTAATTTAAATTATTGGAAGCTCGTTTCAGAGTATTTGCATGATAAGTGTTTAAATTAAAATTTTTCCTAGTTATTATTTAAAATAATGAAAATTCTAAAATTGTTTTCAAATATTTCAATAAATCATTTGAATTTTATATTTCGATCATTCGGTGCCTTTTCAAAATAAGAGAAGTAATAATAAATCTAATTTTGCAGTTTAATATTTTCTGATTAATTTTGTTGAAATATTTTCCTCTAATTCTGTTAATTTAGCCCATAATTTTATTTTTGCCAAATAGTTTTTTCTATTATTTTTGCATTAATTTCACATCTTTTTAGTCGAAATTAGAAAATACAACGCTATTTTAAAATTATATCTCGAATTTTATAGCATTTTGAGCGCTTTTTTTTTATGATCTTCGCTTCAGTATATTTATTTTCTTTTCATATTTTTTAATAGTTAAATAAAATATATTATGTGTTGAAAAACGTATTATAAAATAATTTCTTACAAAATTTATTTGAATTCATTTACATTTAATAATTTACATTTGAGTTCTTTAAAAATATTAAGAAATTTAATTTATAGAAAGAACTGAAATTTCAAAAATTATTCCAATTCAATTTTATTTAGAGAAAAATTTAGTTTCATTTATGAAAACAAAAAAAAAAATCAATTTCAACACAATATTTAATGAAAAGCAAAATGTACATTAAATAAAATTTTTAAAGCATTTTTTAAAATCGCAAAAAAAAAACACAAATAAAAAAATTATATGAAATTGTTAAATTTATTAAAAAATTTTAAATGGATAGAATTTATTGTAGTGAAAGTGATTATAAATGAAAAAAACAAATGTAAAACTTTATAAGACAAATTTAATAAATGAACGGGAAGTATGTATGGAATTTCTAATTTAAAATGTCTTTAATTTTTTATTATAATTTGAATGAAGATGGTAAAAATGGCAATATTTAATTGTTGTAAATTTTATAAATGCCCCAATGCATTTAAAATAATTAATAATTTCAGGTATTACAAGATTTCGGTTGAGTTCATGTTTTGCAATTTCAAAAAATCAGTATGATTTGAACAGATCAGTTCATCCGCCCTACTGCAACTGCATTTTACAATGTATACTATTGTGATATCTAAAAATATTAAAAATTTATTTTGAATTTCGTTGCCGTTTTCTATTTCTTTCATTATATTATGATTCTTAAAGAAATAAGTGTGTATTTAAAAAAAATTAAGAAATATTTAAAGAATATATAATACTCGTATGTACATACTTACGAGTACTAATTAAATACTTATAAAAATATTTCAATTTTGTCTGAAAAAAAAAACCAGAACCTTCGAGTGTATTTGTATTTCCTTTTTGTCAATTTCAAATTCAACTACATTTAAAATAATAATGTCATTTGACAAATCGGTAGAGTAAAATTTCTGTCTGCAAGAAATGTTGTCAAACTTTTGTGGAACTTGAGCTACAAACTTGAGCTATGTAGATGCTATAAGCAGAAGAACATTAAAAACTCTTTATATTTGCTGATCTACTTTAGTACTGGGACCTTGGCAAATAATTTCAACATAGCAGTAGCTGCTCTATTCCAAGGTAGCAGAGTGGCTGGTTGTGTATTAAACTTCATCACGTCTTCTAAGGTTAAAATTAAAATAAAATTGTGATTTTGATTATATCATTTTTTTTCTTTATTATTTTAATATTATTTTTTTATTATTTTACACATCTATTCGTCACAATTTTTACTTTTTTTTTTACTTATTTTTTGTTTTTTTTTTAATTTTTTAGCCTAAACTTTGTTTTTTACAAATAGTTTTTTTTTTTTTTTTGGTTTGTTCTTTAAATTAATTTTTCCCTTTCTTTTTTTGGGTTTTTAGCTTTAATTATAATTTTTTTATACAATGTACTTAAAATTATAATTACAAATACAAAAGAATGTGTTTTACTCCTGTGATGGTATAATTTTGTATTTTCAATGAAGAATTTTGGATTTTAATTTTTTGAAAATTTGAAAATGAATTTAAAATGAAATCATAATAAAGTAGTAGAAATCTACATCAACTATAAAATTGCTAATAAAATTATTAAATTACAAAAAATGTTCGAGATTATAAAAATTGGACATCGAGCATTTAAAGGCAGATTATTATACAAAATAAAAATTTACTTAACAAGAGCGAATTTGCAATAACAAATTCTACGTTATGACGAAAAAGGGACTCTATGGAGGCATGCCTGGTGATGATTTGTAAATTTGATGATTTTCGCTTGAAAAATTTAGTTTAAATCAATATGTCGGTAGACTTACTCTCTAAACTTAAAACGTTATTTCGTTAAAATTTCGATTTTTAAAATCGAAATTAAGAGAATTGTTCTCTAAATCGATTTTTTTGAGCTAAAACACTTTTGTCGCAGAAGTACGGGATATGTAAAAAGGGATGATAAGTACACCTATACACAATTTAATTTTAAATGTTCATAGTCCTCCACTTATCTATGAATCTACAAATAATAATTTTTTAAAAAATTTATTTATTTTTGCCGATAATGGCGATTTAATAGTACCATAATACTTTAAATTTTTGTAAAATGAATTAAATATGAGAAAAATTCTTGAATAAAATCAATTTTTTGAAAGCAGTTTTGTGGATAAGTACATGTCTACAGTTTGTAGACATCTATTTCGGATGTATTAAAATACATCTAAAATTTACTCCAAAGAATAGAATAATTTAGATCATATATACATAATATGTATATATGTTTATAAATATATGTAAATTTAAATGTTTTATTTTAGTTTCTATTCTTCAGCGATTGAACAAATGTAATTAATATAAATCGATATTCACTTCAATCGAAAATGAATATTTACTTGTAATAGTTAAAAAGTTACGTCAGTAACAAGTGAACGGAAGTTCATTATTTTAACAGGCGTCACCTTTAAAAATATCGAAAGCCTACATCGAAAAACTACCAATTTGTTGATTAAGCTGGTCGCGTGTAAAAGAAGACGATTACAAAGAATTATAATGACAGAATAACGTTTATAAAATACATTTTTAACCTACATTATGTTATGTTTATTTTATAAATAACTCTAGTTGATGAGCTCATGAAGAATCCTAACATATAGTGCTGACAAGATTTTTTATTTCGATTATTAATTATTTGGCTAATTAAATATTTCGAATATTTTTGAAAAGTTTCGATGCACATATACACAATACTTAATATCGATGTATCGATATATATTTAAAATTGAATTTTGATTCAAAAAATTTGCTCCATTTCTATAGTTTCAAAGGAAATGAATATTGTGTATTTTGAATAATTATTAAAATATACTTCTTTGGCTCTTTCATCTTATTGTCCCTTTACTCTTTTAGTGGCATTTTTTAAATGACATCGTTTTAGATTATTCGCATATATTAAATGCAAATTGGATATTTAAAACTTTTTCTCATTAATATTTTAATATTATGTGTATGTAAACTCCATTTTATAATTTTTATTATACGATTAAAATTACACTCATTATATAATCAATAATTGCTTACACATTTGGCTAA